TTTTTTTTTGAACCTTGGGATTACTTCGCAGTACCTTTGTACAAGCTTTTCAAAGTGCGGCTGCGATGCGCATTGGAAAACCAAATTCCAAGGCTAACCGTGTTCGGTACCAAAATCCACAGTCATTGCAACAATAATAATTCGACCAGAAGACGAAGAAGTAGTTGTGGCATCATTGTGAAGGCTGCCTGCGCCATCCGTACGCTTCAGATCTAAATTACTATTGTTTAGTTACGATGTCAAAAAATTGATTGCAAAGTGAAAACAATAGCTGACGACAAATGGCATGCGAAAGCACTGCAGCCAAAGGGCTTCCCATCCGATCATCGTCAGAATTAGCACTGTCTCGAAGGGTTTCGCGCAATGCATTCAACATTGCTACTGATGCATCAACGGCAGTTCCACGTTGGGAATTATACAGCAGCTGAAACACTACTTTTCTGCTCATATTTTCTCAGATTAATTTCGTTTTAAGAAAAAGATACCTATGCGACTGGGTCATTCAGATCTGTTTCATGGAATACGAGAGCTGCCATGATAGATTTTCAATTGCACAAGTGCTCTAGCAGATACAGACTTTGAAAAGTTTCTACCTTTACATATCGAAGCTACACAGTAGCGTATAAAAGCACTACTAATCAGACAGGCCACAGCGAAACAAGAGCATTTCGTAAATTTGAAGAGGGATTTTAATGAAAATTTTAAATTACCTGATTCATTTTTCTAAATAATTGAATATCTTCATCTTCCAAAGCAGATAAAAACTGCTTACCTTTCGCTTTATCTTGTTTGCGAACGCAAAAAGCAGCAGCTGATTGGATGCGGAGATAGATAGATGCGAATTGGCAAATGATATCTGACCAGAAAATACGGTAGTGAACAAAGTGTACAACACTATTTTCGTGAAATGACTAAAACCCACCAACGCCCTAATGACGTCGTTAATCGTCTCACTGCCATGAAGAACAGCTAATTTACCCCAAGCGCATGCACTGCCCTCAACTAGCAGCGCCAGAGTGGACATCTAAAAACATCACAACAATCGTGAGACGACTCCAAAGACATTCGAGACACATTAACAGCATTTTGAACTTCCATACAGTCTGAATTGCATTTCTCAATTATGACTGGCAACAAATTTAATCTTATCCTGCTCGCAAAGCCTATACTTGATTATCCCATGGTATGATTACGAGCGAAAAGACGTGAGCCGTCAACTTCTGAGTCGAGAGGGCAATGACATGCAGCTAAACCAATAGGCTTTATACAAACGTCGGAGACCGTAATGCCGCCATTCCCGCGTGTGATGTCATCTTTTTAAAATTCAACCACTTTTATGATAGGCGGGAAGGAACTGCTGATGACGATGAGCATTCAAAATTCGGTGTCGGACATACAAGCCATATTTTACTTTAAAGCAGTTATTGTATTCTGCAAATCAACAACATAATTCTGTTCAAACTCCTCTTTCGAAGTTTGATAAGTGTTGTTGCATAGTAAATGACCATCCTGAGCAACGTTACTTCCAGTTGAGAAGACTGTTCAAATTGACAACGTTAGCAGTTACGTCACAAGTTCACTGAATAAAATAGTCTTGATGTGGTAGGCCACACTGGTGCATGACCAGAACCGCCCCATGACCCATACTCGCTTAGAGTCTGTTCCGATTAAGATCGGTCAGATGCAACCGTGGAGTGGCGTCCTGAA